TGACTAGTATATTTTATATATTCATAGCAGATTTCAGAAGGTCTAGCTGCTTTTTGATTTGATAAATTAGTGATAATTTCATTCTATTCCTAATCTGAGATATTATCAAAGAAATTTTAGTAGTATATTTCAAGCTCAGAATGTGGTTAATAGAGTTGAAAGAATTCTAATGAGAGTAGAATAGGTTGTAATAGTTTTTTCTTAAAATAGCTTGAAAAGTAGTAGTGAACTGCATTTAAAATTTCATTTTAGTCAGTAAAGAGTATGTTATTAAGTAGAAGTCTGTTAATATTTATATTATTATATTTTTCTAGAATGTTTTTATAGAAAAGTTTAGGAGTTTTATTAAACACTTTGTTTCAGTTTTTAATTTTTTGTTGAATTTCTTTGTAAGTAGCTTGTTTTTGTTGATAGTTAAGGGTAAAGTATATGTCGATCATTTCTATTATAATTGGTAGTATAAATTTTTTTATTATTACGAAGAAAATAATAAATGTTTGAGTAACACTAACAATACATAATGATTACATAAAACATATATTTATAAACAATGTTTTGTTTCAAAACAACGTAAAAACATCTTTGACTTCAAAAATTATTTTTTAAAATAATACTTTTTAAGTGAAATAATTCTGTGAGAGCCTATCTAATTTTGCGAGAGCCAAGATTATTTGATTTACATTTGATTATATTCTAGAAGCTTCTATTGTTCAAATAGTTAAAAATCTTTTTTATATTATAAAAGCGGTATTGTATATATACATTTTTGTTTTTTTACCAAGCTAAAGTAATATTTGATAAAAAAAAGTTGGTTATATGAAATTACTATATTTTTAATATTTATTTATATATAAAGTTTATACTGTAAAACGAATTAACTATATATTTATAATAAATAATTGTACTTTATAAATTAAACTAGATATATGACTAATTGGCATCTAAAACATGTTGAAAAAAAATCTTGGGCACGTATTTCTATTCAAAGAAATAATAATTCGTGGCTTGTAAGAGAAATAAATTTAGAATTAGCAGTTTTAGAAATCCATTCAACTCTTACGCCTATAAATATAAAAACTATTATCGATAATCCTAACAAATTAGCTGGCTATTATCCTTATCAACCTAGTAAAGATGTAAATTTAGTATGGATACCATTACTACCCAGATATATAGTATATACATTTTTAAAAAATAAATATTTTAAATTAGATATATTAAAGGATGAAAATGATCAATTGATTTATAAATGGACAGAATTTGGTAATGATTCATCTTTTGAAAATATACAAAATAAAGGAGTTGATTATACTGCATTCAAATCGATGTTTCAACAATATAAGTTTGAGAAAAATAAATCATTTCCCTGAGTATTAGGATTTTTTGATGAAGCGAATATTCAATTTCTTCAAAATATAGTTTCTCAAAAATATCCAACTTTATTTCAAACGTATACAAAAACAATTAAAGTGTTTCAAAAAGAAGCTACTTTAAATAAAGCATTAAAGTGTAAAGCTAATGAATTAAACAATAAAATATTAAATGAAGATCAACTAATTATAAAGGATATCTTCCTAGAACAACAAGGCAAATTACTTACACCACACTGTACTCAAGTATTAATGGTAAAATACAACGAATCAGTACAAAAAATTTATCAAATGTCAAGAACAATCAATTAGTTAAAATTAAAAATTTCAACACTTACCATAAAAAATCAAACATCAGAATCTAAATCAGATTCTAATGAGCAATTAGATAAAATTATAATGGAAGCAATAGAAAATGCAGAAATTGGATCAACTATTTTAGTAGATACGAAAAATTATTTATCATTAGTTTTATCTCAGCCATGTTCTAATTGTGAATGTAATGATATTACAAAAAAATCTTACATTATAAATGCTACAGGTTTTTCTATAAAATGTTGTATAACATGCCAAATTTGTGGAACTATAATAGAAAATAACAATGAAAATATAGATATCCGATTTTCTAAAGCTATTGCTGCAGCAGGTTTAGCTGGAAGTCTTACCTATCATGCATTACAAAGTACATTAGCAAGTATAGGAATTACAAAACAATATTGTAGAACTAGTCATTATAATTATCAAGCTTCAATGATCGAATATTTAGTAAAACAAGCAAAAGAATCAGCACAAAATTGGTTAATAGTAGCATTAGATTATATGCAAAAAAAAAGAGTTAAGTATTTACCTGTAAGTTTTGACTGTTCGTGGAGCCATGGACACAATGCACGACAAGCAAGTGGGGAGTTTATTTTTCAAGAAACAATTCCAGGTATAATACTTATTTAGTAAATAATTATATCTATTTATTAACATATTAAATTTTATTAGAAGCTTTTCATAAACCTGTAATTGCATTTCATACTGTGGAAAAGTCACGTATTGTTAAAGAGAAAGAAACAAATAATATTAATATAATTCATGAAGGAAACTTTGATAAAAGTTCACGACAAATGGAACACTCAATTCTTATATCTTTACTAAATGATATTGAACCTTTTTTGGTAGAACAAGACTTTGTATTAGAAATCATTGTTGATGGTGACTTAGATATGAACAAAACTTTATCTAATGTTCCAATGGTTAATCGCATCTATGCTGATTTAAAACATCTTAGTAAAAATATTAGAAAAGCATTATGTAAGTATAAAAAAAATTTTTTTATTATTAAAATATAACTAATTGTAATTGTAAAATATAGTAAATAAAACCTATCATAAATACCATATATTTGAGCAACATATTATGAGATACTTTAATGGTTATGTATTTGCAGCTGGATTGTGAAAAAATAACTCTAATGAAATAACACCAATATAATTAGAATTGCAAAAAGTTCAAACTGAAGGATTGGTTCGACATCTTCAAAATGATCATTCTTTATGTTGGCCTGAAGTTTGCTGGATTAAAGAAAATCCTGAATTAGCTTTACAACAGCCAACTTTGGAAAATTATTCAATAAATCAAATAAATGAATTTCAAAAAATGATCAAAACTATTTTTCACTTACCAGCTGGTCAGGGTTTAGTTACAACATATAGAACTTTGATTAATGAGACATTTAATCGAGTTAAATTAATATATTTAGACAAAAAGATCGATTTTTGGAAATCATCATGCACTTGCTGTTATTAATTATAATGATAGATATTTAAATATTTTAAAAACAATTCGTAATGGATATAGTGAAAAAGCATTTACAATACAAGATATAATTAATATTCAAAAAATGGAACAATTAAGAACTAATCAATAAATTCGAAATATAAATAATATTCACTTACGAAATACAGCATGTGCTACAGCTTATACAAATGAAAAATTAGAATTACAAGGATTTGATTTTTCTCAAGTATTAATATAAAATTAAAATTTTTATATAATACTATAATACAAATAATAATTTAACTAATTATTATGCTAATTTTAAATTAGGAACTTATACCTTATAAATTTAAAGGACAAGAACGTTTGCTAAAAAATAGTTTTTATCCATCTTTTGGAGACCTAATTAAAGATTTTGAAGTAATTAATAAATGCCAAGAATGCTATAGATTTGAAAAAAAACACACTAAAGGACTTTGCAATTTATGCAATCTATATATTAATATTGGACTTCAAAACCGAATTATTAATCATAACTACCAGTATCAACTTACTTGTAATCTAAATGAATCACTTTCACTTCAAGAAAATTTTATGGATAAAATTAAACTTGCAGCAAAAAATATCTATGGATTCAAAATATTAAAAGTAGAACAAGAATTAGTTATAAACCACTATGCAATAAATCAAAAAGATACTTTTTTTTTAATGCGTACAGGTGGTGGAAAATCATTATGCTTTATATTGCCAGCAATATTATTCGATGGATTAACTATCGTAATCAGTTCATTAACAGCTCTAATGAAAGACCAAGTGGTTAGTAATTATAATTTAAATATTTTACACTTGGCTAATGTTATTATATTATTTGCATTTAGGCAAAATTAACTATATTAGAAATTCCAAGTGCTGCCTTATATACATCGAGTTTTGAAACAAAAATACGTGAAGAGAAAATTTTTGAAGAAGTTGCAATGGGATTTTTAAAAATCCTATATGTAACTCCTGAAAAAATTGAAAAAAATACCCAATTCAAAATATTTTTAAATTGTCTATATGATCAAAGAAAATTACGTTTAGTTATTGATGAAGCTCACTGTATATTAAATTATAAATATTTTCGGTTAGTTAAAATTTTGTTAATAATACATCGCTTATATAATAAAACTAACCTGTAATTTATATTAAAGAGATGCATGGAGTAAACTAGGTTCACTTAAATTAAAATATCCTGAAGTACCTTTATTACTGTTAACTGCTACAGCATCATCCACAAATATTGAAACTATTCGAGAAAATCTAAATATTAAAAATGAAAATTTTGAAATTGTAAGAGGTATAAATATGGTACGCCATGAAATTTCATATCAAGTAATTAATAAGAAAGACAAAAAAGACACTGTAATTATAGAAATAGCAAAAATGATTGAAAAAATTACAGAGGG